GCCTCACTCGGGAAGAGCACAATGATCACAATACCAACATGGGCCAGTGAAGCGATGTCCTCCACAACTAGACTGAAGAACACAAAGGACAGCAACTTGTCTGCTCCCCTTCCCCGATTCCCCAATAAAATTAAAAAAAAAAAAAGACAATAGCACACAAAAACATTGTCATTCTTCCAAGTCAGCCCCAGAGACTGATTAAACAGGTTACCTTAGTTTATTACTATTATAGCCATTGGTGAGATAATGTTTGGATTTCACAAGTATATGTGAATTGTCTACTTCAGCCCTTATTTTCATAGAATAAGCATAGGGTCAGACTACAGATAATAAATTATAATGTTCGTTCTCAATAGAAAAAGCCAAAAAAAAAAAAAGTGTAATACATCTATAGTTGCCCTCAGGTTCAGGAAGGCGGCCAGTAATCTAGAATAGGATTATAATTCAAATTCGTCCTCGAGTTATGGAAAAATATAATTAACAATAATAAATTTCGACCTAGAATGTGATGGTCGAACTAAGAGAGGACTGGGAAAAAATCAGCCAAAAACGCACCAGGACGTTGGGGCTTTGCTTTCAGGATGAAATGTCAACTTTAGCAGACCCTGGAACACAGCCTTCACAGAGAGTGCTCCATGAATTTGTGTCGATAACGTGTGAAACTACACGACAAAAGCAGAGTACAGCTACGTGGTTATTTTGCTCACACAAAACCCTAAGGCGACCTCTGAGGGCTACTGAATGGAACACGCTGGAATTCATCCTGATGGGCTCTAGAATCTATGGGAGCCAAGTGTAAAATACTTCTCTGCTAGAAAATGGTGAAACTCTTACTGGATTCAATTTTAAAAAGCCAGAAAGACAGGCAGAAAATACTGGCCCACAAAGTATGGGCTGAAAACACCCAAACCGGAGCCTGTGCGGATGCTCTGCCTCCTCCCGGGCCTAGCCGGAGTGGCCTCTGCGCGACCAGGGTTACCTGCAGGGCTTGGCCTCCAGCCCCGGCGACACCCATCGGAGGCCTATGGACGGAGTATGGCCACCTCCTTCCAGCCCCGGCGGAGAGGCCTGGGCCCCAGCCCCACGAGGGGCTCTGCAGCCGCTCCAGACCAGGGCTCTGGCCCTGCCGGAGGGCGCGCAACAACAGCCACATGGCCGCCATGTTGGCCCGGAAGCGAAGCCGAGGCGGTGGGAGCCTTCTCCTGGCGCCTGCGCGGTCGAGGTAGGATTGTATGTGTGTGTGGAATGGGAGCAGGCGGGGCGGGGTTGGGCGGGGCGGGGCGATTCCCCTCGGGGCGCCTGCGCGGTCGGCGCCTCCAAGGCTGTGTACCCTGCTCTCGGCTTCCAAAGTCGCGCTGCGTATGGGTTCTCTGAATCCGAAGGGTTTCCTAGCGGTTTATTGAAGTGCCGCCAGGTGCTGAGCGCCGCGAGTATATGTGCCGCCTGGCGGGCCGGGGAGGGAGGGTGTTGGGACTCGGCGCCCAGCCGCTGGTTGGGCGGGCTTCGCCGCAGCAGGTCCCGGGTCACCGAGCAGAGCGAGGGAGCCAAGGGGAACATGCGAGGACAGCCGGGGTCAGACCCAGCCCGGCTGCACCTTGGCACGAGGGGGATCCTACGAGCGCGGGGAGGGCCCTGCATGCGGACTGGCGTGGGTTACGAGGAAGGACGTTGAGAAGGAGGGTCGCCGAACACCCCCGACGCGGGCAGACTGGAATCTCGTTCTACAGATGTTTCATTTCGAGTAGCCATCTCCTCAACTAGTTACCTTGTCCTGGAGGCACGCTGACTCGTTTCTGAAAGGCATTCCCAGCCCTGGTGGTCAGGATCACGGCCCAGACACCAGAGTCCGCTCGCTGCTCGTAGGAAATACTCAGGCTGGCGTCTTTAATCCCCAGCCCAGGCAATACACCCTGGGTGTGCCGCCCAGGCTGCCTCCTTCCTGACTTTCCCCCACCTCTTTCGCTGCCCACCGTAGCTCTGCTTGAATGCTTAGTTCTGAGACTGATGATGGATGAGAGCTGAAAAGCTTGTTGAGTGCTACAGAGGTAGGGTTAGGGTGACATACTCGTTTCTGTGCTTTTCTGTATTCCCCAGTACCTAAGGACGAATCATAACAATAACCATATTCCTGAATGGCAACTAGTGCCTGGCTCCATATCGCATACTCTTATTTAATACAACTCTGAGAAATAAATACTTGTAGTAGATAGGTTATAGCTGTGGAACAGACTCAGAAAAATTAAAAGTAACCTGTCCAAGGAAATGATGGCACAGAGTTTCAGAGCTGGTCAGACTAGTTTCTGAGCTACTTACTGCCATTAAGCCTTAAGTATTGCAAAGTAACATGTATGACTAGTATATCCTTTTCCTTCCTCTCCCTAAAACTAGAAAGGTTTGGGGACATTTTTTAAATGAAGTGTCCTGATTATTGGTCCTTAGCTCTCTGGCGGCTGTTGCTGTTGAACAGGTTCTTATTTGTGATTGGTTGGTGGAGCTAGCAGCCTCAGAGCCCAGGGCCTGCCTGCAGCTTGTTATCGTTGATTTACACAACTGAACTGCCTTTCCTTTTGTTTCTCCTGTCTTTACAACCTTCCTTCACAGTCAATCCATCCTCCCCCATTTCCTCTTCTACTATTTTTTATTTTGCAGGTTAAATTGTCCCGCCTACTTTCTGCCTTCCAGCTGGCTGTATCCTGCCCTCACTCTATACCCAGACAAGTCCTGTGACTGTAACCAAACTTCCGAGAGTGGTTTCTTGAGCTCTATCAAAGCTTGTGCAAAGCTGCCCTGACAGGAAGTGACCAAGCCCACCCTCACGCCTGTTGCCTCATCGCCCAGTTCAGAGAATTTGTGACTCAAAGCCTCTAACAAACATTAATGTGTTTGGGAAGATTCTAAGATGCAATCCCATCAATGTTGTTTGAAATAAAATTGTTATTGTGGGCTGACCTCTTTGCCTGGTTGTAAGCAGTGCAGGATGATGGCAGGGGGCCAGACTCTGGTGAAAGAACGTTGCCTTCTGTTCTCAGCTTATGACCTTGAGCAAGTTATTATTAACTCCTCCAAGCCTCAATTTTCTCATCATTAAAATGGGGATGATAGGTATCTGCAAAGTGAGGTTGATATCAGCCTTGAGTTTCCCACAGGGTTGTTGTAAAGATAAAATGCAATTAAAGTATGTGAAAGCAACTTGTGAACCAGGAAGGTGTTCCTATCCAGGAGTTATTCCTAGGATGTCGTGGGAAATGAGGTTCTGGGAAAACAGACTATTGATTTATTTATTCTAACACATGTACTTAACAAGTATCCTTTGAAGGCTGACTGTGTCCCAGGCCTTAGGTGAGAGGTGAATCATGGACTCTGAACCCCACCTTGCTTCAGTCCCACCTCTGCAGTGGCCCAGAGCAGAGGCTCCTGTGGTCTTAAGCAACATGGATTTAATTTAAAGATTCAGGTGCTTCATGCCCTGGACCTAGAGGAAAAAGCTCTGTAGGAAAGCTGGCTCAGAAAATTTTTCTTGGCTCTCAGGCCCCACTTCATCACCCACCAGGACATCAGCTTCACTTTCCTCTCAGCTATTTCCATCACCACTATCTTTATTCTTTCCGTACTTCGCAACTCGCAACTTCTGTTTACTCATTTGTACTTCCTCAGCTCTCTGAACTCTGTTCACCAGGACGTTTCAGCGTGACTTCCCTTAACGTCTGAGAAGCAATCTCACGGTGAACTGGTTTGAGTCAGGGCATGTCCTGGGTCTCTGCACTGTCACCCTGGTACCAGGTGCCATTGGTTTCAGATCCGTGAGGAAAGTGAGCCTCAGAAGGTGTGGAAAGGCCACCCCTTCAGTCTGGGCTGCAAAAAGGAGAGAGGAGCAGAAGGGGTGTCTGTCTCACTCTCATCCCCACAACTCCACTCTCTTCCTCAGCATGGAGGAATCTCTGCTTACTGTTAGCTGAAGGGCTTCAGGCAAACTGCTCTTGAAACAAACATCAGTCGCCTTGCCTGTAAAATAGTAATAATACTTCAGTAGTCTGGAGACAGAAGTTGATCTATTGGGCCATTTTTGGTTTTAAGATCTAGGCTTCCATATTAATATTAGAGCAAATAATTTCTTCTTCCCAAATTAGGCAGCTTAGTGGCAACTAAACTTCTAAACTTTAAAAAAATTTTTATTAGGGCCGGCTGAGTGGTGCTTGGGACACCAGCTCTGAGCAGCTGGGCCCCAGTTCGGATCCCACATATGAGGGCAGTGACACTGCGCCCTCTACAGCTAAGATGGTGAACAACAGCTCTACCTGGAGCTGAGCTGCCGTGAGTTGCCGGCAATGGCGTAGGTTGCATTGGGGCTGGCCGGCTGATGACGTGCGCTTTCGTGAGCTGCCGTGAGCGGCTGGCTGTCCAATGGCTGGCCAGCGACTGCCTCACCCGGGAAGAGTGCAATGATAATACCAACATGGGCCAGCGAAGCGACGTCCTCCATAACTAGACTGAAGAACAAAAGGACAGCAACTTGTCTGTTCCCCTCCCCCAATTCCCCAATAAAATCTTTAAAAAAAATTTTTTTAATTAAATTTATTGGGGTGACATTGGTTAATAAAATTATATAAGTTTCAAGTGTATAACTCTGTAATATTGGGTTGTTGGAAAAGTCATGACATATTTTTTCTATGTTTTTTGTTGCAAAAATGCATCATGACTTTTCCAAGAACCCAATACATCATTTATTATAGATATTGCATTCTGTGTTCACCACCCAGAGTCAATTCTCCTTTCATCACCATATATTTTACCCCTTTTACCCTCTTCTACCAACCCTGAAACTTTACAAAACAACGAAACACAGTTGCTTCCACACTTACCCTGGCCTTTGAAGCCCTTGGACTGTTGCACAATATAATTGCTGCACCGTAATCATGACGGTGAGCTCATTCCTGCAGAGTCACGCAGCTTTGAATGACCTGGTCTACGACTAGGTATTTGGTTAATATTAGGATGTCCTCTCTAAAATATACTCCCTTGTGGAGTGTTTGAATAAACTCATGTATCTCTCTGAATTTGGGTAAATGTTGTTTCTGAACTAAAGATCTGTCTTAGGAAATGATTTATTTTCATATCACTTGTTAACGGGGTTTTACTCATCACATATGCAACAAGATTTTGTAATCACAGGTTTTGTTCTTCTTGAAATGATGAAAAGTCCCATTTCTACTAGCAAAAAACCTGTACAGGAATTGCGCATGACTAAATAGCAATGTGTTCTTCAATATTTGGTAAGACTGTTGGGGATGGGATTTTGAAGATATTTAGGAGGGACCTGGAAAGGGCAACATCTGTACCCTTTCCTCATAATGTTAACTCCTGTAGCTCTGGACAGCACAGCAAGTTCATTAATTTAATCACTTGTTCTGTTGATTGTATTAACTATCCATTACTATGCAACAAATTACCCTAAAACTTAGCAAGTGAAAACAACTAATTTTTATCTCACGATTTCTGAGGGTCAGGAATCCGGGAGTGGTTGACTGGCTAGCTGTGGCTGCTCAGGGCCTCTCACAAGGGTACAGTTGAGCTGACACCCAGGACTACAGTCATTTGACACTTGCCTGGCACTAGAGGATGAGCTTCCAAGGTGATGCACTCACCTGGCTGTTGGTAGGAGGCCTCAGCTCCTTACCAAGTGGACTCTACATGGGGCTGCTAACATGACATGGTACTATGTGACAGGGACAACCCAAGGGACCAGGGGTTATTGAGGGCCAGCTTGAAGGCTGCTAACCATAGTGATGATTAATAGAAGGTATCTGTTGTTCAGATCTGTTCAGCAAAACCCAACCCCTGAGTTTCTGACTTCTCATCACATGATTCCAGCCCTTCAGAGTGTAGCATGAATCACCACATTGATTAGTTCAGGAAAGGGAAAGTCAACCCCAGGAAGTCCTAAAATCAGGATTTCTATTTGAAGATAGAGAAGGGTCCTTACCTTTGGGCTCGTGAAGTAGAAGGATAAATCCAGAGTGCTGCTGGCTCCTTTCCTGTCCCATGTTAAAAAAAAAAAAAACAGGGGCCGACTGAGTGGCCCGTTGGTTAAGAGTTGGCTTGGGACGCCAGCTCTGAGCAGCAGGGTCCCGGTTTGGATCCCACATACGGGCCAGTGATGCTGCTCCCTCTACAGCTAAGATGGTGAACAGCAGCTCGACCTGGAGCTGGGCTGCCGTGAGTCATGGCGACAGCGTAGGCTGCAGTGGGGCTGGCCAGCAGTTGGCGTGCGCTTTCATGAGCTGCCATGAGCCGTCATGAGTGGCTGTTCAATGGCCGGCAAGCAACTGCCTCACCCAGGAAGAGCGCAATGATAATACCAACATGGGCCAGTGAAATGACGTCCTCTACAACTAGACTGAAGAACAAAAAGGACAGCAACTTGTCTGTTCCCCTTCCCCGATTCCCCAATAAAATCTTAAAAAAAAACACCAGCTGTGGTTGGAGAAAATGTTGCCCACACAGAGAGTAAAGGAGCCTAGGCTACAGGTGAGACTTGGGGCAGCCTGTTTGCGACCCTAGATCCTTCATCTGCTTGTTATAAGCCAACCCCTCTCTTATGACACAAGTTTACATTAGGATTTCCTCTGCTCAAGTTGGGGTTTTCCTTTCCAGGTCCATTATCCACTGGGGAGCCATCGCTGATCTGGGGTTCTTCCTCAACTCCCTGGTGTGGATACAAAAGCCTCACCTGGATTCAGCTACCAGGAAAGAGGGACCATGTCTGGATGTCTAGGAATAGCCTATTCCTAAAAGTTATTAGCTAGATATTTCTCTGGTCCCAGGGGTCACTTGTTACTTGATAAGATATTTGTAGCAAGAAAAGTTCCCTTGTCAGTATGTGGTCTCCCTGAAATGTTTTCAGTTAAATGTGTTATGTAGCCAATAGGATCCTCTATTTGCTTGTCTCTGGGATTTAGCCAGTGATCAGACTGGCTGTATCTCCACTCTATAATCCACAGCCAGCAACTGACAGCAGAGCTGCTCCATTTCAACAGGTTGGTCAGAGTGTGCCATCTCCCTGAAGGAAAACAGTCCTAGGCTTTTGTGCCTTTTCATTAAGGCACAGAGTATTCACCAGCTGGCTGGTCCTGGATCCTAGAGAGGTCTATGGTCATTGTGGGTTTTCAGCAAATCAATGGTAGACCTGCCTCTGTAGAAGTTCCCATGAACCACGTTGAATTTGGACAGCCACAGCAGAACAGGGAAACGGTGCCACAATAAGTGAGTGTTTTGTAGACATCCCTGCCTTTTATGCCAGCCTGCTACAGAAAACCTTGCCTTTGTCCCCTCAGAACTTCCAACTCCCTGTTCTCAGAGATTGCCAGTCCATTCCCGGATGTTTTGTAATGCAGAACAAAAAGAGAAAGGACAAAAATAGGTCAAAGAAAGGACGAGAGATGGAAAAGGACGGAGGAAAAACACACCAGCTTGGTTCAAGTCCCAAAGTAAAGATGACAGAAAGAGGGGGAGCTGAAGTGAAAGGGGCAGTTGGGCAGAGTTTTAGGGGGTAAGTTATTTTTGGGAGAAATTGGTGAGAAGCCCCCAGAGCAGTTGCAGAGAATAAAGGAACTGGAGAGGAAATGAGGTTTCTGTGGTATAAAATGCAATTGCCTTTAACAGGTATTTACTATGTAGCTGTGTCCCAGATGCTGGGGACATAGCAGTGAACAAAATGATGCCTGTCCTCCAGGAGCTGCCCATTAGCGACAGGAGAGAAACAAAAGTAAACCGAATCAACAAAGCACACTATATATGAAAAGATGGTAAGTGGCCACAGAGATAAAGCCTAAGATGGGGTGGTTAGGGTAGGCTTCACTGAGAACGGGACTTTTTGAAAGTTGTGGTACGATATATATAACACACAATTTGCTATTTTAGAAGGGGATTTTAAAGCAGGAGTGAAGGGGAG